GCCCTAAGTCTTAGATTGCATTCTTTCCTCCATTGGCAGCTCTAGGAGACAGGTGCCTTCCAAAACATTACCTGTACGTTTGCACACACGTGCCCTTGGCTCTATTAATGACAGGGCTTGACACAGTCACCTGTCTGCTCTCGATAGCCTTCTTCATGTTGTGATTTGTTTTGGAGAGAGTCCAGTGTGAGTTCCCTAATGGTGGACATTTAGCTTGTTTCTAATTATTTGCTCCTTACAAACAGCGCTATAATTAGCACCCTTGTAAATGTCTCTTTGTGCATATGGGCGAGCATTTCTTTAGGGTAGCTATCTATGGTTTGGCAATTTCTACTGCCTTTAATTGCATTGCCTGGTATCTGGCAGACGATCTTCTGCATGTACAATAACTTTTCGTGTCCGTGCACCATTATAGTGTAAGTTTTAAAAAAGATGTTTCAGGCAACAATTAGGAGTCTAAGTTTGAGCGCAAGTTCTGTGTGGATTGCTGTGGTCGGCTGAGGTGACAACTGAATGAAGTGATCCTCCTACCCATGGTTAAATTCACATGGGCCCTGTCAGCTGTCTTGGGAAGCAGTAAGGTTCCCTTGCACCCTGGCAGCCATTATGATTGTGCACATATGTATGTATGCATGAGTATGCATTCGTGTTGTACACTCACGTACCACTGCTCCTGTGTGGGACAACGTGTAGGAGTTAGTTCTCTCCTACCAGGGACAGAACTCAGGTTGTCAACTTTGGTGGCAAGTGCCTTTACCCACTGAACTATCTCACTTGCCCATACCTTGTTTTTTCAATCAGGGTCCCTCGCTGACACTTAGTGCTTGCCTATTAGGTTAATGAGGCTGGCCAGCCAGCCTTCCTTCGGCATCCTCCTGTCTCCGTCTCCCCAGCACTGGGATTCCAGGCATGTACCTAGCTTTGTACATGGGTTCTGGGGATTGAATTCAGCTCCTTGTATTTGCACAGCAAACATGTTGTGAACTGCACCATCTTCCCAGCCCCACACACCTTAATTTTTAGGATATTAAGATGTGGAAAAATGTATCTCAGAGTTGAAGAGTTATGGAATCTCCTTTTCCCCAAGTCAGTGGCCTATGTGTCTGGACAGTCCTCCTCCTGTGTGGGTTGGTGCACCTGCCTTCCCAACAGTCAGTTTCTCACACGGGTGTGTGCTACTTGCCCAAGCCCCGCTGATCTCCTGTCTGTCTCGTGCCGGTTCAGAGGTGGGCTCGCACTTTTCCGTGCTTTCTGTTTCTCACACTGTCCCCTTTACTCTGGATGCTGCTTCATCAGCTTTCCCCATCTGCACGGGTTTGCATGGCAGTGGGTCCATGCAAGAACATCTGTGGCAGTCAAGAGTGTGTTTTTGCCTTCCCCCCATTTCAGGATGTCTCCCAGTGTTGCTGCTCCAATGTCAGTCACGCCTGAGTCTTGAATGGTGTCGATCTGAGTTGAAAATGTGCCAGTTTTTGTAACATTATCGCTAATAGACTGCTTAATTAACCTGCTGATATTGTCGATGGTAGATCTGTTGGTGTGTCAAAAGGGAGATCCATGCATATCCCCCCCCCCTCTCTCTCTCTCTCTCGGGAGTGGGATAAGAGAGATCTAGGAAGGTCTGGGGGAAATGGCAGAATCAAACAGCCCAGACCAGGTGGTAAAAGTGCAGTCCCTGCATGGGGCATGTGTCCTTGCTTATTGTTGGGGACTATTACTATAGGGCTGGTTGTAACCAGACAACTACTGTAAGGTCCACAGAAAAGATTGTAAGGCATATGCCACCTGCATAGCCAGTCACCTCAGAGAATGCTGTCTCTGCTTGGGGCTGGTGGCTGCTTTTACATTGATATTAGGCATTTTTTTCTATCCAGGCAGCTTTTGTTTGCTGTGGCATCCTGGAGAGAGGCTTGCTGAGGGGACAGAAGGAGACAGAGCTTTGCTTTATTTTGTGATTAGGAGTGGGGGCTTGAAACAGGACCTCAGATAACCCAGGCTGGCTTGGAACTCAATTTGTAGCTGAAGATGACTTTGAATTTACAATCCTCCTGCCTCTGCTTCCCTCTGGAGTGTTAGCATCCCAGGTCTACATCATCAGTACTAGTCATGCTTTTTTATTTTCATTTATTTATTTGTTTTTGGTCTCACTTGGATTCTGTGTTTGAGATAAAGTTCTTCTCTGTCCTGCTGTCCTTACACCCACATTTGGAAACTGTGGTGAGAAAGTGAGTTGCCACCTGCTCCTGGGGTTGGCCCACCACCACCTCCAAGGCCTGCCTGCTTACCCTCTCTCTTACACTATATAAGTACCCTCTCCTGCCTGCTTACCCTCTCCAAGGCCTTCTTACACTATATAAACACACACAACGGAGGCTGTAGTCATTTGACCTGCATCCTGCCTCCTGCCTCCCTGGTGGATGCAGAGGCTGGCATTCAGTGTAGGTGTTGCCTTGCCCTGAGATTCCATGGAGACCCTAAGTGCAGTACTGGGAATGCCCAGCAGGTGGGACAGTGCTCACTGTCTCCCTGTTGGGGACAGGAACAGTGGTGCTTGCAGTGGTGAAAGGCATTCTTGAGGGTAAAGTTGATCCTCTCAGGCAGAAAACCCCACTTTCCCACTCAGTGATGTTCTCATGTCATCTGAGAACTCAGGGCCTGGCAACCCAAGGGCCAAAGGGGTTGCAGAGTATCCCCGTGGCCACTAGAGGGCTTGTCACCAACAGAGGCCAGGAGTGGCTTCCCAAGGCCACCCTAAGAGGACTATTTGGGTCCTGGGCATTCTGTGTATCAGAGGCTCACCTTTGGGAGTGAGCAGAGAGAGAAACAAAGCCAGGAATGAACCCCAAGCATGGATGTTCCCAAACTCAGGCACTATGCCCATCTTCCATGACTCTCCTTGCTGTCCCAAGTCTTTACCTCAGAACACCTTCCTAATTCTCTTTGGATGTGGTTAATGTGTTCTCAGACATTGTGGAACTGCACTTGGGAGGCTGAGGCAAGAGAATTGCCAGTTTGAGAATGGTCTGGGATACACGGGGAGACCCTATCTCAAACTAGGGTATGGGTGTCTCTGTCAGTATGTTATTGACATTTGGGGCCGGGCAATAGCTTGTTGTAGGAATGTCCTGTGCATTCTAGCGTAGTTCCACAGAAGCTGTGTTTCAAAGCCTCACCGGTCTCTACCAGCCATGTGCCAGTAACACCCCCACCCCAACCCCCAAACCACGATAATAAAAAATTTCTCTCTACATTGCCCCTGATTGAGAGGCACTGCTTAGACAGGTGAATGTGTCGAGTGTGGGGACAGGAGCTGTGAGGCTTGAGTCCTTGCCACAGAAGGTCTGCCATGGTGAGCGCTGATGAGCATCGTGTGGAAACAGTGGGGCCGCTCAAAGATAGCATATGTGCTCGAAATACATTTCAGAGCTTGTTTGCTCTCCTGCTTCCCTCTCCAAAGACTGCAGTGCCTCCTGGTCTTCGCCTCGGCTTATTCCACCTCCCTACTTTATTGCAGTAGGAGAATGCGGGGGGCTCAGAGCCCCCTGGTCCCACACCAGCCTTCTTCACCTGCAGAACCCTGTCCCCAGCTGTGAGCACCCTGCACGGCTGGGCTCCCCAGCCATTGGCTTAGGTCCCAGGAGCATCTGTGGGCTCCCTCCCACTCCTCTTGCCCACTGAGCCCCACCACCCTCCAGCTCCCCAAACCCGGGTGCCCCCCCACTGGAGGGGGGAAGCAGCAGGTGTTGATGCTAATCAGCGTTCACAGCCCAGAACTGCAGTCGCTCCCAGGCTCACACACTCCCCAAAATTAAACACTCATTATACAAAATTAATTGACATTAATTAGCAAAAATTAAAACTTTAAACACAGCAAGGCGCTTTGGGGGGAGGAGTGGAGCAGGCAGGCTCTGCATTTGTCACCCCCCCACATTTCCCACCACCCACCTACCACCCCCAAGTCTCCCCATTTCCATCATGAAGCAGGGCTGGAGGACTTCAGGCCAGATCTATATCTGTAAACCACCGCGAGTCTGGGCCTGGCCTGTGAGTCCCAGTTAAGGAGCAGGGCGACTGTACCAACCACCCAACCACCGTCATGTACTGCTTATCTAAGGATCCAGGGACGTCTTCTCAGCCATAGGTCTCCAGGAGCTCAGCTGAGACAAGGGAGAGAGGTATGGCTAAGTGAAGCAGCGCAACCACCCACCGGAAGAACTCTGCTTACTCCCCGACACCCCACCTCTCTCTCCACGTCTCTGGGCACCTGACACTCAGGCACCACAGCCTTTCCATTCTGCCCCCCTTTGCTGTGTGACCTCAGTGAAGTCACCATTGCTCTCTGAGCTTGTGTTCTGTTCATATGATGAGGGGGCGATGCTGGGTGAGCACAGCGGTCTGCTCCGTCACCTGCTGTTGTGGATGGAAATCTCTTGGTTTGCAACAGTGAGACATGAGGGGACTAAATATGGGAAGTGGCATTTAAAAGCGTATTGGGGCCCGTGGAACTGAGTTGCTGGTGGTGGAACATCAGGCCCCATGGGGACACATCTCAGGGACAGAGAGCTTTCTGGGTGCACATCTGCGTCCCTGCCTAGGGACCCTGCCCAGAAGAGGTGAACAGCGCCCTCTATAGGTGCAGCCCCCAAAGCCTTCACCATTTCTACTTAGTACTTTTGGTCTATGCATCCCGGGTGCCCAAGGGTCTCGGTTAAAAGCACAACAGAGAGCCAGGTGGTGGTGGCACACCCTTTAATCCCAGCACTCGGGAGGCAGAGGCAGATCGCTATGAGTTCAAGGCTAGCCTGGTCTCCAAAGCTACATAGTGAAACCCTGTCTGGGAAGAAAAATAAAAATTAAAAAAAAAAAAAGCAAACACAACGGAGTACTACAACTTTCTGCTTTCACAGAACTCCTGCAGGTTGGGGGCCCTGGCTGGAGGGTGGAACCACGTAGGAAGCCATCATGCCTCACTATACCTCTCTGTATTCCTCTCTCTCCAGCCAGTGCCAATATCTGCAACGTGGTCCTGATGCGATATGGGGAGCTAGAAGAAGGGATTGATGTCCTGGATGCTGACGGCAACCTCGTGGGCTCCTCAAAGATCGCAGCCAGACATGTGGGTTTCCCAAGGGCTACGCCCTGCTAGGAATGGATTGGTGTTCTCATACATAGCCTGTGCGTTCCTTGAGATCTTCTGGTCACGGAACCTTGGCTTGGTTCTTCAGATGTCGCCTCCTCATTCCAGTCCCCAGCTCCCGTCGGTGTGAGCCCTGGACCTCAAAGTCTGTTCTGAACAGTTCTTCACTGCTCTTCAACATCCCTCCTCTTCTAGTCTCTACTGTGAAATGTCCTGATTTTTTTTTTTGTCCCAGCCCCTCAGGGCACAGCTCCTCTGAGGAGGTGTTAATTGGAGAGGGCAGAGGAGCCTCCCCAGGGCTTTCTCTCCATGCCCTAGGTCTTCACATCCCCATGGCTTGTGAATGGGAAGCTGCAGGCGTGGTAGGTAGCTGCTATCTCGCTGGCGAGGGGTGTTGTGCCAGGAGGTCAGGATTATGGAAGATGTTGTGGCCCCTGCAAATGGTTCCTTATAAGTCTCTCTTCACTAGCCCTGCCCACTGTAGCTCTTGTATTACACACACACACACACACACACACACACACACACACACACACACACACACAAGTCCTGTGCTTCCTCAGCCTTCCATTGATGATGGTTGGTGGCTTGTCCTACTGTCTTGGGTTCTAGCCTGTGCATGGTGGGAATGAAACAAGGAGTCAGCCGTGAGGGGATAGAACATCACGATGTTCCGGTCTCTGTGGTTCAGCAGTTCTCACATGGAGACTGAGATGGTACCCTGTACACAAGACCTTATTGATAAGCCTTGATCTTTTCTTCCTTCTTATCCATCTCAGGGAAGTCAGGGCCCATCTAGACCCTGTAAAGGGCCAGGGCTGGAGGGCATGCCAGCAGTACACTGTTGCCTGGCCTGGCTTTAGGCCTTCACACCTTCCCACAGCTGTACTGGGACCTGAAAAGACCCTCTCCTGGCCCTTCCTGAAGATTTCTATAAAAGGATCAAGTTTCAGGGAGAAACTTCAGCCCCAGCCCATCATCAGAGAGAACCTACCCTCAGGTTCCTACTCTATCCCAACCCCATCCTTTCAGAGTGCCCTGTGAGGGGAGTAAAGGTGACAACCCTTCCTAAAACCCATCCAGGTAGGTCACCCAGCTCTTTTGCAGCCCCAGGCTTCTTTTAATCTTGCTCGAGAGACATCTCCTTGGAGAGACTTGGAGATCTGAGAGCTGTGAGCCATTCCTGGACATTCCTCTAAGGGCAGGAACCATGAGTCAAAGGGACTCAGCAGTGTCTGTCCAAACACAAAATTGTCACTTATCTAGGCCTCAGACTATGCCTCCCAGGATTCTATGGGAGTAACTAACCCCACTGGATCCTGAGCATGACCAGCCAAAGCTTCTGCCTCTTACAAAGCTAACCTTTTCTCACTGAGACTCATAAGGGCTGGGAAATGTAGCTCTTATGAGTCCTTCCCTAGGACACACAAAGCCCTGGGTTAAATCCAGGGCTCATGCATGTAATCTCAGCACTCAGGAGGGGAAGACAAGAGAACTGTAGGTTAAGAATCCTCAGCTACATAGTTCAAGGCCAGCCTGGGCTATACAAAGAAAAAAAAAAAAAAGACTTAGAGCCAGAAGACAAAAGGTCTTATAAATCTTTGTCTTTAAGGGATGTGGTTTTAAAAAGTAACCCCCAGCTTCATCCAGCTTGGAAGCCCCCTGGCTTTGCAGGCCCAGTGATTTGTTCTGGCTCTGTTTTGACAGTATCTTAGGTCCTCTGTGTACTGTTCTCCCAACCCCTGATCTCTGCACACTGCAGGCTGGGGAGGCTGTCCTCTCCTACCCCCTCCTCCATGCAAAGAATCTGCTCTTCTCAAACATTTGTGGGTGAGGGTGGAGCAATATTCTCTGGTGTCTGGGATCCAGCTCTGTGTGCACTGCTGTGAGCCAGGGCTGCCAGATGTGCTGAACAGCAGTGCAAACACCTCAGACTCCGGGTTGGGATTTGCTTCCTTAGTGGCTGTTCCCATCCCTTAGACCCCTTCTCACCCCAGCCTGTCCCCATCCTCAGGCCCTGCTGGAGACAGCCCTGACTCGAGTGGTCCTGCCTATGCCCATCCTGGTGCTTCCCCCGATCGTCATGTCCATGCTGGAGAAGTAAGTCAGGCTGTGGGAACAGAGGGGATGCCGGGGAGTGCCCCATGGGACCGGAGGCCATGGCAGCCTACCTGGTGTGTGTGTGGGGTTGGAAAGCACCCACTCTGTCTTCTGCTGTACTGGATGGTGGTATTGAAACTCATGACTTTTCCTATGCAAACTGGCTGGTGCCCGGTGCTGCCAGGTCGCCCGTGCATAAGCATGGTTCTGCCTTGGTGGAGGGGGCAGGATAGCTGGCACTTTTGGTAGGAATCTGTGTGACCCTGTGAGTGTGAGTGTGTGTGCATGTACACACGCACTGTTAGTAAGCAGCCCCAGCCTATTGGGGGAGATAGTCCAAGATAGGAAACCTAGATTTTCAACCTCAATGAGTCTCTACTTACAATTAAAACAGTAGTCTGACTGTGGCTCACTCTTGTCATTCAGCAGGTGAGGCAGGATTGCCATGAGTTTGAGATAACACGGGGTACACAATGAATTCTAGCCAGCCTGAGCTACTTTGTTAAGAACTTGTCTCCAAAAAAATGAACAAAGAAGCAAAAACAAGAAGTAGGCTGGAAGTGGTGGCACATGCCTTTAACCCAAGCACTTAGGAGGCAGAGACATATAGATCTCTGTGAGTTCAAAGCCACCTGACTTTAAAAAAAATCAATAAATTAATTATAGTAAGGCAAAACTGGAGCAATAATAATCTGCTTGGTTTCTTCAGAGGAAGATCAAAGGACAACTATTTGTCATGTCACTGTTCACATAATATAGGGAACACTACAATAATAATAGTAGAGGGCTTCTATATTTATAGGATGGTGATGGCTAGGGAGCAGCTGGGGAAAGGCTGAATGGGGAAGGAGGAAGGAGCCAGGGTCCCCCTGCATATGGAGGCCTAGCAGGCCTAGAGAGGGGCAGGGAAGGGCCCTGGGTGGAGGGAGGCTATAGGCACAGAGCACATCTGGTACATGAATATGCTGATGAGCAGGTCATGCCTTGCTCTTGGGCACCTGCCTTATGGAGACCCTCTAGGATCCAGCATGCTTGAAGGAAAGCATGCCCTTTGGGGCAAACAGATGAGGGTTCTGTGTGTCCATCAGAGAGACCCTCCAATCCCAGAAATGGGCAGAGCCCCTGTGTCTGAGTATTGAGATTAAAAACTGTTCATCTGGAACTCAGAAGGCTGAAGCAGAAGGATTGCCATAAGTTTGAAGATAGCCTGGACTACACAGTGAGTTCTAGCCCAGGCTAAAATATGAGATATTGTTTTAAAAACACATTAAGAAAGGAGGAAGGGGAGTGGAGAGGAGGGGAGGGAAGGGAAAGGAAGGGAAGGGGAAAAAAAGAAAGTCAACTTAGCATGAGACTTTCAACAAATAAACAAGAACAAAAGTAGGTTTGAAGAGGGCAATCTTTTGTGTTCCTGGCCTTGTATATAGCCCTCTCCTGAGCTGAGGCTGTCCCCAGATACCAGTGACTGAAGTACAGACATGGAGACCAGGAATGGGTGAAGAGGGTACAGTTTTCTTCAGCAATGAAGCCTGGGATGGGGCAGCATGGAGGGTGCCCATGGAATACTGGTTAGTCACCTGTCACTTGTGCAAGTCTGGTGGGACAGAGCCCTCACCTGGCAGGTTAGGTAGAGACATTTTCTTATACACACAGGCATCGAAGGACAGCGGAAGCCAGCAAAGTGTAAGATTTGCTGCAAACTAAGGCTCAGGAAAAGCTGCTGAGGGAGAATGGAGTCAACCCAAAAGCCCTTGTCTCTGGTTTTTATGGCCTGAGAGAACGTAATTGTTGGGATAAGCTAGGCTAACCCATTGCAGACAGCAGGAGCCGCTCCTACGCTCCTCTGTCTGAACACCCTCAGCATCCAGCACTGTTCACAGGGACCTGGCAACTACACACACAGGAGCAGGTAGAAAACTGGTTCAGCCAAGGCCAGCCAGAGGCCCATCCTTTGCCATGAGTTTGCTGGAGAGGAATATGACCTGTGATGGCTTAACAGTTTGCATAGGAACTCAGTTTGTAAAATGTTGAAAGAGGGTTGCTTTGCCAGCTTACTTTTTTGGGGGAGTTATGGGAGGTGGCATGGGAATTATTTTGCCTGTGAACCCTCCCCAACATAGTGTCTAGAGTACTGCACGGCTTGCCCCATCCCAGGTGCCAAGGAAGCTCCAGGATAGGGTAATAAGAAGTCAGTAGTCTGGTGCTCCATAAATAGCTGATCCTTCCTGGGGGTTCCCAGGGTGATTTTGAGGGAGAAGAGTTCAGTCTCGGTTCCCTCGGGGATATTAAGATGGTAAGACCCAGTTGCACACGCAAAGGTTTATTAATCTCACACCCACTATAAAACCATGGGACTGGATGACAGGAAAGGCAGGGCACTGAAGCAGAGCTGGCTGAGACTTCTAATAGGGAAGAATGCTTTTCCAGCCTCAGTTTCCCACATAGAAATTGAGGATGCTGTTGTCTTGTTGCTCTTTCAGGCTTGGCGTCTGGCGCCATCCAGCACCTCTTTCCTGTGGGGTGGGCAGCTGTGCTGTCCAGAGTTCTTTGGTGCAAGATTTCAGGGCTCCTGAGAGGAGCACCCCACCCCAGGTTGGGTGGGGAAGTCTGGATGGCCAGGGAGGAAAGACAAAAGCACACTTACAAAGCAGACTTGCAAATTAATGGAGCGCAAAGTAGGGCTGCTCTGCAAGTGCTGAAGGAATGCACAGCAATGGGGGGGGGACCAGCTGTTGTGTGGCAGCCGGGTGGGGCCCGCCTCGCTTGCCTCTGGCCTCAGTCTATCCTTTCTGGCAGGAGCACTGGGGTCTGGGACCTGAGCCTCCAGCTAGGATTAGACAGAGGTGGGAAGAAGTGCGCGCACCATTGTCTTTGCCCCTGAGATCAAAAGAAGTCTGAAGTTCCAAGTAGAGGGACCTCCACCCATGCTGGATGCATCCTCTGTCCTCCCTGCACATACCCAGACCTCATACTCCATACCTTCCCTGAAGCCCCTAGCAGCCAGTAAACTGGGTTCAGATCCAGGGCTGGGAGGCCCACAGATGTAATCCATCATCGCAGAGACGTGTCAATGTAGGGACAGAAAGGCTGTGGTTTCTTCCCAAGCCCTGCAACCCTGGCTCAGGATACACTGGAAGAGTGCACCTGGCTGGATGGAAGCTGGATGGAGGTCCTGGCCCCACCCATGGTAGATCCCTGAGTCCGCTCCCCCAGTTCCTTCGCTGTCTGTGATCCGGGTCTTTCCTTTTTCCAGGCATTCGCACATCTCTCCATCTGCATATTTTAACTCCCCCAGCTGCCTTTCCAATCCCTTCCTGCCATTTCCCTCTTCTCCCCTCCCCCCATCCTGCTGTGTTTTCTCTTGGGGGCTCTGAACCACACTCCCCAGGCTTCCCAAAGGTTGCAGCCCTGGGGCTCCCTGGATCCACTTGCCAGCAAAGGACTTAAACCAGCTTCCCTTGAGAGAAGTCAAGGTCAGAACCTCCATGGATGGGAGTTTGCCCAACATTACTTCCAGGAAGTCCCCCTTCCGTGCTCTAGGTGACCCTTAGGGCTGTGCCTCTGGGAACTCTACACCCACCCACTGAGAATTGCTACAGAACCAAGTAGACAGCCCTGAGTCCCAGACATGAGAGGTTGATCAGAGCTGCAAGCTTCACAATGATCTTGGCCTGATTCCAACCCCTGTGACTCCAGAGGAAGCTTGTGAGGCCTTGGGCTAACATAGACTGGAGGGATAATGAGGTGCTGCTCTTCTGGGAGTTGAGCTTGATTTCAGCACCTTTGTCTTGCTCCTCTTATTCATTGGAAGACCCCTTACCCCAATCCCCAGTAATTGAACGTAGCCTTTATCCAACAACCACAAAGAGCATGGGGTCCAGGCCAGCCAAGAAGGGCAAGAGAAGAATTCACCTGTCAGGATCCACATCCTCTGTGCAGATATGGCAGTACCAGCAAGGATGATGCACACTTACCTGCTGCTGAGCTGGCTGACCTTTGGATTTGCCTAGAACTGATAAGCAGTTGGGTCTTGGTAACACCTGAGTGCGAACACGGAAAGGCAGCCGCCTCTCTAAAGTGTGATCTGTAGCTTCATGAATGCCAGTTCCTGGGTCTAATGCCAACTGAAGGAGGGTCCCATGGAATCAAGAGCCTTTGGGAATTGACACTTTTAACTAGAACATTCCAGTATGTACTAAAGGTCTGAGAACTGCCTCCCAAGTGTGCTGCCTGCTGGGGACCAGGGATTCTTGAGTTTGCCCCAGAAGGGAAGGGTGAAGGGGTTTGCCTGTCCCTAACACCGCTACCCTGACCCAGAGGGATGAATTGGTCAGTTTTCCCTTAATTCGAATAAATATCTGAGATAACTTAGAAAACATTTATTTTGGCTCTCAGTTTCAGAGGATACAGCCTGACATCCAGCCTTAGCCCTGGGGCTGTGGGCCAACATGATGTGAATAGGTGGCCAACGAGGTGTGAATAGGTGGCCAATATGGTGAGAATATGTGGCAGAGCAACCTGGTTCCTTTACAGAGTGAAAAAAAAAAAAGGGTAGGAGAGGGACTGGAAATCCTTTATGCTCCTGAAGGGCATCCCACCTCAGTGAACTGAAGACCTCCCACTGGACCCTAGCTCTTTGTTTCAAACCTTTAATGTGTGGCAATTTGAAGATACTTAAGATCTAGACTGTGTACAGCAAAGGTCTCTTCTCTAAGACTGTGCCCAGGCTGCTCCAGTTAGGGAGGGTAAGAGATCCCGTTATGATCTGTCACTGGGGCTGGCCATGTGAGGCTGCTGTGGCCACTGAGGTCAGGTTTAGTGCCCACCTGATATCTCTGATAGATGATCCAGTATTCATCCTGCTAGAATTGCCAGGTCTCCATGGGTGGAATGCCATAGATCTTGCCAAATAGTGTTTTCTGCTAAGTGTGGTGAATAGGTCGGCGCTTGTCAGCTAGGGTGGCCCCTACTCTGTCCCAAGAACTCGTTCAGACTCTGCACAGTGAAGGGAGGTTTTTCCCACTTCTCTCCTGTTCAGGAATCATCCCCCCCAAAATCTGCCTGAGGAAGTGGATGATCATTGTATCATGTTTGGGGTGTAGCTGTTCAAAGAGTCCTGATGCTAGGAGCTAGGAGTAGCTCAGGGTAATAGCTACCACAAGAGTCCGGGCAGCTGCCTGCAGAGTTACCCTTGGCCATGTCTGCCCTCCCCATGGCTCTCGGATGAAAGAGGTAGTCAATGGGATGTCTTCAGTTCCCATGCATGGACAGGGCTGCCTCTCCCTGATCAAGCACATGTGTTTGTGTATGCACATGAGTGTTTGTGCACAAGTATATTCTGTGTCTTCTCCCTGGATGGCACATACTGGGCTTTTCCTGACATCTCACATATGTGTTTCTCTAGGAACCAGGGATGACAGTCTCTTCTGCTCATCCCTGCCCCGTGTACAGGGCTAGACAATTGTTGATGGATATCCCACTGTAAGAACTTGTTTATGATCTAAGTAGCTTAGGGTTCCTTGCTGGGTCCAGCCATGTCCTTCATAGCTGGGCATGGGGAAAGCAGTGGTAACTAGTGAAAGCCCCAAAGATGGTGCCCACTTTTCCATTTAGCTAGAGAAGCACTGGGCTGCAGGATCTGCTGCTCGGGCCCTGAGGTAGCATGGGGCCCAGCTTGGCAGATAATAGCCATCCAGCCCAGGCTGTGCACCTCACATGTGCCCTCCTTCTCTCCACAGGACAGCGCTCTTGCAGGCACGCCCACGGCTACTCCTGCCTGTGCAGAGCCTCGTATGCCTGGCAGCCTTCGGCCTGGCCCTGCCACTGGCCATCAGCCTTTTCCCGCAGATGTCAGAGGTCAGTGGGGTAAAGGGCAGGGCAGGGAGGAGTCATTTATTAACAAAGACTTAACTGGTCCTGACTGCCAGTATTGAGTCAGGCTCTGTGGTGAGAACCATGAAGGAGCCAGGTGTCTGTAATTCCAACATTTTAGATGATGACTGCATGGGGTGGAGGAAATGAGGCAGGAGGACTGCTGGGAGTCTGAGGCCAGCCTAAGCTACAGAGTGAGATTTTTCTTAAATTAATAATAATAACAATAACAATAATAATACATAAATAAAGGAAAACAAGAAATGAGACTGACCCAGGATTAGACCTTTCAAAAATGACTATCAAGCAGCAACTCAAGGGTGCTGTGGAATGGCAAATAAAATTCAAGGAAAGGTTAGGGTGGGAGAAACTGAGGTAGCAGAGCAAACCTGAATGGCAGAGGTGCTTCTTTGGGGCCTGGAAGCTGGGTTGGAGTTGGCCCCACTGATCAGGGGCTTGGGGACACACATGCTAGGGATCAGTGGGTATGAAGGTTCTGAGGTAAGGCAGGGTGTGACATTTGACACCTGAATGAAGTCTGTCCCATGAGCAATAGTGGGGAGAGATGAGGTAAGGCAGGTAAAGCCGGACAGCCCTGGAAGGCCGAAGCAGGGGGATATGGCATCCAAAGGGTTGCACAAAGAATTCTTGATTGTGAACATGGATGGTCTCCATGGCTGCTTCTTGAAGCTGAGTTGGAGCTCTGGAGAGGCAACCATCAGGAAGCTGTGGCGGGCATCCAGTGAGAGATGATGGCGGCTTGGACCAGGCTGTTGGCAGTGGGCATTGAGAAATGGGGCCATTGTGAGAGTGGGGCAGCCGCTTCCTCGGGATTTTCGTGAAGAACTGCATGTGGTGGGAGGGGAAGGGAGCCTGCAGGATGTGTGCCTGGCTTTCTGGTTTTGAAGCCAGAAGGCAGATGTAGTCATGTTGTCACAAGATGGAGATGGGAAGAGGGGAGGGGTTGAGGCAGGACAGGGAGTTGAGTCAGTTAGATCTGTGGGTGGGAGGAACCTGTGGACCAGTGTCTCAGGCCACAGGGACAGGATGGGGGCCACCAGGCAAGGGCTGAGCCAGGCTCACTGAGATTGGGATGTCCAAACTCCTTGAGGTTAGAGAGTGCCCCTTGTCCTTAGACTACAAAAGCAGACCTTATCCCCATTGATAGAGTGTGTGGCTTGGTGGCAGCTGCAGCACATCTCTAGAGCTTTTATTTGTTATTTTTGAAAATGGAAGGGAGGAAATCTTGTATGCGTGCAAAATGGAAACGTGAGGAGAGATCAAGGGACTTCAGGGAAGAAGCAAAGTTCATGAAGAGAGAAAAGGACTCTTGTGAAGATCAGGGGACCAGCCTTGGCAGGGGCGAGCCCTGTGTCGCTGGTACTGGTGGAGAGGAGGGGCAGATGGCAGATGCAGTTGCAGGTGGGGAGTACAGGTGATGACAGGCCAGAAGCAAGGGCCAAGAGTGCAAAGAGCCGTCCTGCTGCTTAGAGCAGCTGAGATTGTGGCTAGAGAGGGCCACTTCTAAATGAGTGATCTTAGCACAGGCCCTACTTCAAGGAGTGCCCAAATGGAGGATGAAGGGTAGGCCAGAGTTCCTTGGGGAAAGGGGGGGGGGTGTTAGTGAAGCCTGGAAGCTCGGGGCCTTCATGTAGGAGCTGGAGTCACTCTCCCTACTAAGCCCTCAAGTTTGGGACACTCAAGGTTGGGAACCAGGTCTGTTGTTCCGTGTGCCCTCAGGTCTCTTCCAACCCTAGGGAAGCTGAGCCTGGGTATCCCCAGTGGAGCCTAGGGCTGCAGGCACCTATAAGCCCTGGAAACAGGGCAGAGGTTACCCTGAGGTCTCTGGGGCACCACTGTGCTGGAAGCTCTACCTGTGGAGAGAGGTTCCAGGACAGAGAATCCCCAGATCACCAAATCAGAAGCTGTCCCAGCTGGAAAGTGTCATCTCACGTATCATCTTCCTGGCTCCGCCAGAAAATCAGCCTGAGAACAGCCACGGGTGGGACCCGCCCTCAGTCACAGAAGCCAGTGTTGATATGGGCGGACACTCTAGAGGCCATACCCCAGTACAGATGGGGTCTAGTCAGTTGCTTCAAGAGGCTCTACTCAAGTCCCAGAATCCTCTGTCCCCCTTGCCTGATAAAGTAAATGTGGGCACTAGTGCTTCTGGGTGTCTAGCCAAATTCATCTTATCGCAACCCAAACCTCTTATAGGTTGGGAGGAATTGTATGAGGTCTCTGTCCTTCAGTAGGGAGGGCAGTAACATGCTCAGAACTTCGTGCTCAGCTGGGCCTTCCCCAGCAGGGTTCAGGCCAACCCGGATATTATAGTATTTCCAGAACTGTCTGCAACCCAAAGCACCATCAGGCAATTGGTTGGGAGGCCCTCACTCCTTCCTTCACCCTCTCAATTAATTCTAACGAGGTGCTGCTTCTGCAGTGCAGGGATCATCCCAGAAGCCAGGGGAATTCGCCATATGAGTCTGGACTTGCTTGAGTTGACCCAACCTTGCCAAAAATCACCAAGGCTGTCAACAGAAGTAATCGCTGAAGTACTAATTAATTAACTAGGAGACTTGGAGACCAAGTTCAGGAACTGGTGCCTAGGATGGCTAGCTTGCTGTGACTGGTGTGGGGGCCGACTCTGTAACCCCAGAACTGGAGGAAGACTTTCATTTCCCCTTCCATGCCTGGAAGAGAGCTTTGCTCTTTTCAAACAAGTGTTTATACTTATTGAAATGGCACCAAGGTCAAATAGTAATTATTAGCTACCTTGACTTGAGGTCACATGTTAGGTCTCTGCTTGCCTTGTATTTTAAGTTCTTCAAGTATAGTTAAGTATGAGAGATGTTTCCTAGTCAGTCAGAGGTCATTGACAGCTCTGAGGAAAGATCTGGCTGGAGTCATGGGACCTTTGGTGGAGGGACTCTAGCTAGCAGATATGGCTCTGGCAGGCCATACCCTTCCCCCATTCCCTCCGCCTTGCTAAAAACCATTAGATTACATTCCTAAAGCTAGCCACCAGGGTTTATTCCTTTGCTTGGCCACTTCTTCCTCCTGAGACTGACTGCCAAGGTCCAGCTATCAAAGGGCCCCTTTTGGGTGCCCTAATTAAAATGCCCAATCAAAATTAAACACCTCATCCTAACACAGGGCTTCCCCTTTTATCTTTATAAACTGCCACTTTCCTCTGTGCCAGGTCTGTCTCCTCTCTATCCAGGCAGTCCTTTGTCCCTCTGGGACAAGTATCCCTTCCCCTCTCCCTTGGTCCCTTTCCCTGTCCCTGTCCTCTATCTCCCACTTTTGTCTCTTATCCCTGCCCTTTTTCCCTGTGGGGCAAATAATCTCCTTTGTGCTAAGAACTTGGTCTTGGGTGTCTTGTGCCCAGTATCGGTCCTTTCATTTGGTGCATTGAAGGGTCTGAAGGAGGAGAAAGAAAGGTCAAGATTAACCAGAGGTGGGAAGGGAAACCACAGGGAGCAGATTCCAGAGAGCCAAGGATGAAGACAAGGGAAGAGGAGGGGGAAGGGAGCTTAGAGATGGGCACAGCAAAGAAAGTTTTCCTGTTTACAAATGAGGGCCCTGAGGCAGCTGAAGGTTAAGTATGTTGTCCATGGTCCATGTTTGTCATAAGAGAGGCAGCTTGCCCAGACAGGGTTCTGTCACACTCTCCAGCCTGCCCACACCTTACCATAAGAAGAAGGATCACGCATGTGCCCCAGACTGCCTGCTGCTTATTTATCAGTAGAACAAAACTACCCTCCTAGACCTCCTGACTTTCATAGGGAATCCACCTTCATGTCTACAGTGACCTTCTGTGAGGTACCTCTTTATTTTCTAACACAGAACCAGGCAGGGTGGAGGTATCTGCCAGGACAATGGGTGGGATCTGGAATAAGCTCTGAACTTGGGTATGAGAACTAGGTCCAGCCTCCTGCTGGGCCTCAAACTCACTGACTGGACAGGAAGAATAGGATCTTCTCTTTGACCTGGAGCGTAAGGGTACAGTGGAGCAGTGTTCCTAGAATAAGTCCCTTGCCCTGTGGTCTCCCATGAAGACTAGGCTACTCTCTTGTGACTGGGACAGTCTTCTAATGGCTTCTGATCTCCAGAACATGTGTTCTGGTATTGAAAACAAAGTCAGTAACTAAATGTCCCTGGGTGTGGTGACTCAAACCTGTTACCCCAACCCTTGGGAGGCAGAAGGAGGGGGACCCCCCACAAATCAAGGCCAGTCTCATCTACACAGCAAGTTGTAGGCCAGCTAGGATCACACAGGGGGATCCTAGGTCTGAAAACAAACAAACAAACAAAAAACAAACAAATAGAGTAGAAGTGAGTTCTATAGCACATACCTGAGCCTAAAGGACCAGGAATTCAAGGCCATCCTTGGCTACACAATGAGTTTGAACCCAGTTTGGGCTACATGAGACCTTGTCTCAAAAAACGCTGAAATAAAGTCACATGAGGGTGACAGTTATGATGGAGGTAAGGCCAGGGGCTGAGCTATGGCTTTCTCTAAGGCTCCTTGAGGTAGGTTGTAGAGGGCTCCATAGTTGAAAAGGTCCTGATTTGGGGTGGCTTTCAGGCCCTGTCCATTGTGAATATTAGGCCTCTGAACAAGGCCAATGTGGATACCTCTATTCCTGTGCTCCATCTGCATGTACACTGATGTCTTAGACTCTCCCGGGGATCATCCAGAGTCCAGTCTTTGGGTCCATGGGCTTGGCTGTCACTGGTGTCAGGAATGGGCAATGACGAATACCCTTCTTATTCTGACAGCCAGTTTTCTCTACCTGGGAATGTTTCCAACCCAGCAGTTTAATGAACCTCAGGTCTCCCAGGGAGCAAGAGGCAGTGCCCTGGCCAAGCCTCCCTCACCCTTGTCTGTGTCTTTCTTAATTCCTTGAGTCCTCTGGGGCTCTCCCATATCCAGGTTCTCTCCTCCCCCTCTGCTCCCCGGGGAGCTAGGGGGCTAGGGA